TATAAATCCACCAGCAAAATAAAGTGGGTATTTCGTTTGCATGAGCGTGGCACTTCTTTGTACTATACATTCTTTGCTCATACGGTGATTTGCTTTGCAGTAAAACAAAAACAAAGAAAGCAAATAAAATCTTACATATTTTTGTTTTTCTTTTGATTTTGTAACATTTTTTTTTACTCAGTGAAATTTTGTCTTTTTAACCTTTTCAATACAACAAGAAAAAAAAAAACAAAAAACAGTTGTTTCTTTGTTTTTTAACTTGGATTGGATTTTGTGTGTGTTCGCATTTCACAATTGATGAAAGTGCCCATTTAGCATTTTTCCCTTCCTGCTTCGCTGCTTGGTGTGCTTATTTTTTTTTTTTTGTTGTTGTTGTCGTTTTCATACTTTGTCAAATTTTTGTCTAATTATTTTATTTGTTACTTTCTGGTCTTCGCACACTTTGTATCTTCTTGCAAATTATCTGCAGTTTGTCCAAGATGCAATGTTTTTTATTTTAACTTTTTTTTCTTCTCTTATGTTTTTGTTTTTATTTATTTTTTTGTTTTCGTTTTTATCTTTTATCATCTGTGTCTGGTTGTGTATATTTTATTTTTCCCTTGAACGCACTTCGTTCGTCATTGTTTATTTCTGGCATCTTGCGTTGCTCTGTCAAAACTTCTTTGACTTGCGGTTTTCTTATGTAAATCGTATCCGTGTTGCATTCGCATTCGTTTCGTTCTTCCCTGACAGCTCATCGCTTACTTGGCATGTCTCATTCTCTTGTAATAAATGACAACACAAACAAAATATTCAGTTTATCTAAAATATTTCAACACTTCAATTTATATATTTAAATATTTTGAACTGTAAAATAAAAATCATTAAAATGTAGAACATAAATATGTTAAATGAAATTTGTTAAATAAATATGTAATATTTATGTAAATAGCTGTAGAAGACGATATGATAATCGTTAAATTATATAGTTGAAAGTGATTATATTGTACATACATATGTATATTAATTTCTGATAAATGTCACCTTATCTCTCAAAACACGATTGATACTGATCATTCTGGTCTACCGATGTGACAATGGACAATAAAGTCAACTATTAACTACAGTGCTAGCACTTCATCACTAATACAGAAGACCAGAATTATTAACGTCTTCTTCACAAACGCATCAGTATATTGAACCGATGTATGCTCCATTGGAATCTCCTTAGTAATTCCACTGGTTACCAATGAAGCAAAGTGTGAATGACATAACTTCCACCTTAGTTTGATGTGAGGCCTATCTAAAACTCTGCTACAATGTAAGTTGTAGCACTCGATGGTGCATACGCAACTCCACGCCGAATAAATGAACACCCAAACTCTTCTCGCGTAAGTTTAGGTATTAACCACAGCCACTACTAGTCCAACCTCAACTGGTCAGCACGGCCGTAGTACCAGATACTGCCATCTCTGGTCAGATATCGTTACCATGCACACTTCTTACACAAGTGTCGGCGTGACATCGGGATTTATTCGCCTCATACGACAGGCTGTGCCTACCAATATTCTAATATTCTAACCCCTTCACCGCCGGGGGGACATCACTAATACAGTTTACTTCTCAGAATATCGAGGTTTTAAGTTTTAAGCTTTTTTTGCATTGATTTCACAATAATAAAGTACAAACACCAACTAATGCTAATTAGTATATGCAATTTTTTCATTGATTACAAGTTACAAACGTACCAGTAGACATACCAGAACAATTTAGCCGAAAAGTCGGTATCATGTCAGTTTTTCTATTTATTACAAAATCTGAACACAGACGTACATAATTACATTAATTAAAAATAAGTATTGTAAATTAGGAAGATAGATGATCGAGTGTCCATCTAGAGGTACATTGCTGTCGAGAGGTCTTTCATTAGAGGAGGGTCTAACCAATTTTAATTATGACTTTAAAATAGATAGTGGTGTAGATGTAAAAAATAGGTGTATCTTACATAAAAAGAGGATATGTGATGTATATGAATATTATCACACACTCAACGTGTTGTAAAATCCTTGAGTTCAGTCCAATTTACTTTCACAACGGCTGGCTTTTAATTGCTACAAATCTATAAATGAGAAGCTATAGCTTGGCTGGAAAGCTATTGTATTAGATAAATATACATATTATCAGACACTCAAGCTGTTGTAAAGTTCATATAACGAATCTGTAAACGAGATGTCGACGTAGTATAACATTTCTCTACTCTGGGTTCCCGGTTATAGGAATGTTTTCAACAATCGCAAGGCAGACGAGCTTTTTAAACAAGGTACTTCAGGTAATCACTTAGAATACCTAAATAATTTAGACATATCGTTAAAATCATAAATTCTTTCTATGTTAAATGATTTATTAAAAGATGTGATGACTTAACAATATGTACATTAAGACTGAAAAGTTTTCGGAAATTCTCATTTAAAATTCGCGCGCTGTATATTTTTCGATATTTTAAGTTTATGTAGTTTGGCAGCACTTTCCTTAATTACTATGCCAAAAATGAGCGCGATCTGTCAGACAGTTCGTTTACGGCAGCTGTTGAAACCAGTTCACCTCAGTAGTGCGTTGCGGAAATGTCTTCGACGGTCGTACGACCGTCCTGAAAGGCTTTGTACCACTCATAAACTTGAGTTTTCGATAAAACTGATTCCCCATAAGCCTTTTGTAGCATTCGCAACCGATTCTGCACACGCGAAATTTCGTTCGAAACACAAAATTTGATGCAAACTCTTTGTTCAATATTTTTTTCCATTGTTTTTTTCGCAACGCACTACTGAGGTGAACTGGTTTCAACAGCTGCCGTAAACGAACTGTCTGACAGATCGCGCTCATTTTTGGCATAGTAATTTTCCTTAATTGCTGCCAAACTACATAAACTTAAAATATCGAAAAATATACAGCGCGCGAATTTTAAATGAGAATTTCCGAAAACTTTTCGGTCTTAATGTAAGCATCTGTATGGAAATTGGACGCGTAAAGATATCAGTCTTATGGTCGGTTTGTTGGCAGGATACAGCCGCTTAGGGAACCATACTAGAAGATTGTATTTCCCATTTAATCATTCCTGACACAGTTGTGAAAAGGATGATGAAAGTGCCTCACATCTGCTTTGTTACTGCTCAGCATGTGCGCGGTACCGATGTACTGTTTTAGAGGTGGAGTTCAGCGTCCCGAACTTTAAATGTGAAGAAAAAGGAAATGTATATATGTGGGGCATATTGCTATAATGGTAGTAAAGCTATTCTAATCCCTTTGATGGGAGGTTTGATGATGCGAGAACTGGTTAAAGATGACTTGTCATAAATATGTGGGGAACATTGGCAAGACACTGAGCACTTGAAAGAGTCATAAGGAAGAGTAACATTGTATTAATAATGTGGCGAAAATACATCGTAAAACTAATTTCGGCTAATTAAAATTTTCTGTTTAGTGGTCCTACTTAATAAAATAGACTAAAGCAATAAAACATCTTTATACTAGTACTCTAATTCTAGTAAAATCCAAATTATTTTTATATTTGTATTCTTAAAATCTAAGCAAGTTCAACAGTAATGAATTAAGCTATCTATGTGAAGTAGTAGTGTATTCAAGAGCTGTGGAAACGCGATACCAAAAACTTCTGGTTATAGTTTTTAAAATTTAATAATCTTCACAAACATGGTTCAAGAGAACTCTAAACTAGGTCCCAAATGTAAAAGTATATAATAATATCTACATGATAGGAGTAATCATTCTGCTCTATATAACATTTTATTTCTAAATTTATAATAGAAGGGAAGCAAGCAACCTATTAACATTGAAATATAATTACCATCGAAATTAATTTCTTCCTCAACAATGAAATTACTTTTGTATGATATTTAAGTTTAAAACGTAAATGGTTACACCACAGCGACTACAGAAATCATTTCTATTTTAAAATTGCTTACAAGTTTTTCTATCTTTAACATACAATTTTGCATATCTGACCTATATTTTAAATATTCATTATTATCTCCACTCTTCACTTCTGGTTTTTGGGCATTACTACATAATTTATGAATTTAAATTTGGTAATTTTGCAATTTATTTCTCAGTGTTTACAAAATTTGGGTCTTGTTTATTTTTACAAGACGTTTATATTAAAATTAAAATAATCAATTAAATTCAGTTGTTTTCATATATACAGTAGAAGGGACCAACGACGGATTGCTATTCATTTACATCTTGAAATTTGTGGATTTGTGGATTTGTTATCGCGTCTGTCAATTGAAATGCTTCCCTCTCGGAGGTTCATTTCAGGTTGTAGAAAGCTGGCCGCCCTGGCAATGGATTTTAAAATTAAATATTTTTTTATTCTTTTGTTTTTATTATTATTTTTAATTGTTCTTTTTACTTTCTGTAATATAATTTGTGTTATTAGCAGCCAAATCAGCGCGTGTGTCGTGTAGGATGTAGCTTCTTGGACTTCTATTTCTTTGAATTTGCCTTGTTCTCAGTCATTTTCTAGTATACGTGTATGTGGTTGTTACTATGCCATCGAATTGATTATTGATTTCATAAATAATTACATTTATATTTACAACGCAGAATGATTTTTATCCTTACTCATGCTAAAAATCAATTTTATCGATTTAAATATTTTGAAAAAAATTTTGCACCAAGGTGACGTCCTTACCATGTTAGTTTAGCATAAAATAAAATTTTGTTTCCTCAAGCATATACCAAATTCATTAAATGATATTATATATCATACAGTAGAAATTTGATAGTTATAAATAATAAGCCTATATATTCAAACTTTATTTTTATCCCCAGTTAATGTTGAGCCTTTGCCGAGTTGCTGCCTCTGGGCCCTTTTACGCTCTAATAGCTAGGGGGTTTCCTCATAAGCTTCGTGATTATTCAATGACTAATCTAAGATCTGCGTACCGTACCGTGCGGTTAGTGACTACTCTCAGATTAGATAGCGCTAAGAAGGGCAGCCTGTCGGTTTTCGCATATAGTTTCATGGCTCTATTCCTTATGTATTTTTTGTTGACGGATCTATTCTAAGGTCTCAGCATGTCATTCGTGCGAATGTACCATGGCACTTTAAAGACTCTTCGGTCTGATTTAAGCAACTTATTGTTTCTGGATAGTAGAGTCGGCAGCTTTGCTATAAGCGACACACACATTAAGTAGTGCTGGTGTAATTATCTCACTATAGATCATTATCCCAGTATCATTTCTTCGAAATATAATAAACCAGTATCTCTAATTTACAAAGGTTAAATTTTCCCGACTTTAGAACCATTGTCCTACCACTCATCGTACATTTTAAATCCATACTCGTATATAATTTTATGTTTAGGAGCATAGGAGGAGGACCTCAAGATTTTAATCTTGAAAATATGGTGAGTTGGTTAAGCCAGCAATTCAGCGGAATGTGTGTTAGTTTGTTAATTGACCTTGTTGTATTCTCGGAAGAGGGTATATAGAATATATTTTTCGTAACGATCATTAGGATCGCGTCATGTTAAAGCCCGCTTGGTGGAGCTTAAAACTGATTCACTGTAATATAAACAACTTTGCTATGTAAAAAATTATATATAGTGCATATATATTTGTAGAAGCATTAATAACTTGTATTTTTTTCTTTACAGATTAAATCATATACGCATTGAAATCAACTGGAATAGAAAAAGTCAACAAACAACAAATCGTTGTTAAAAAATTTGAAGGTTTGAGTTTTTAAAATATACGAAAGAGTTGTTGGTTTTTAAATCGTAACGTTTGATACATTATTTATTAGATAAACCAAATTTACTGGCAAATTAAGAAGAAAGGAAGAAAGAAACGACGACATACACACAAAAAATGGAATTGCGTGTGGGTAACAAATATCGATTGGGCCGTAAAATTGGGTCAGGTTCGTTTGGTGATATATACTTGGGTACAACCATTAATACCGGTGAAGAAGTTGCTATTAAATTAGAATGCATACGTACCAAGCATCCACAATTGCATATCGAGTCCAAATTCTACAAAACAATGCAAGGTGGCATTGGTATACCACGCATAATCTGGTGTGGCTCTGAAGGTGATTACAATGTAATGGTTATGGAATTGCTTGGTCCTTCTTTGGAAGATTTGTTCAACTTTTGCTCACGCCACTTTTCATTAAAAACTGTGCTACTGCTAGCTGATCAGATGATATCACGTATTGACTATATACACTCACGTGATTTTATACATCGTGACATAAAACCTGATAACTTTCTTATGGGCTTGGGCAAGAAGGGCAATCTCGTGTACATCATTGATTTCGGTTTAGCGAAAAAGTTTCGTGATGCGCGTTCATTAAAGCACATACCATATCGGGAAAATAAAAATCTCACCGGCACAGCACGCTATGCATCTATAAATACACATTTGGGTATCGAGCAATCTCGACGTGACGATCTGGAATCGCTTGGTTATGTGCTGATGTATTTTAATTTAGGCGCTCTACCTTGGCAGGGTCTAAAAGCAGCCAATAAACGTCAAAAATATGAGCGTATATCAGAAAAGAAGCTATCCACAACGATACTGTCATTGTGTAAAGGTTTTCCAAGTGAATTTGTGAATTATTTGAATTTCTGCCGACAAATGCATTTTGAACAACGTCCTGATTATTGTTATTTGCGTAAATTATTCCGCAATCTATTTCATCGCCTTGGGTTCACATATGATTATGTATTTGACTGGAATTTACTTAAATTCGGTGGACCACGCAATCCTCAAGCAATACAACAACAACAAGATGGGGATGGCCAACAACAAGAAGCAACTGCTGCCCAACAACATCAACATAGTTCGAAACAATTGACCGGTGGTGTGGCAGCAGTGGGTGGCGTCCAAATGATGGGCTCCGGTGCTGGTCAATCGATGGTAAACTCCAATGCAGCAATTGTTGGCAGTAGCTCGCAGATGGTGGTTGGTGGAAATGGCGGTATGACAATGGACGATTCAATGGCTGCAACAAATTCATCGCGCCCACCTTATGACACACCAGAAAGACGTCCTTCGGTGCGTATGCGTCCCGGTGGACCTGGTGGCGGCGTTATGAATGACGTGCGAAATGCAAAATAATATTTTGTGGTGTAATTTTTGTTTACGAATACAATAGTTTCTATATTTAAAATTAGCAAGTCGGTCGTCGTCTTCATGTAGTTTTTAAATTGCTAGATTTATAAATTTTATATTCTCATTTCATTTACATATATCGTAACGTTAATGTTATTTTGTATGTTAGCAATAAATACATAAAAAAAACACATTAACGTGCGTAGCGTTATCATCTCTTTGTCATTAATTAATTAATATTAATTTAAAAATAAAAATAAAAGTAAATAAATAAATAAATGAATCATTAATGCAGTGTAAATTGTTTAACAAAAAATTGTGACAATTAATAAAATAATACGTGAATAATGTATGAATAGAGATATAAAGTATTATTGTAAAAAATATTTATTTTTTTTTTTATATATTTTCTCGATTCTCTTATACATTTTATGCATATGCAATCATTTTATTATGCTACTCATTTAATTAATTTAATTTGTTATAATTTGTTATAATTTTCATAATCTATATATGAATATTGTATTCTCGCGCATAGTCCATAGACATTTTTCTGTTAAACAAAGTCCACTGTATTAGAAAACTTAAATAAATAAATTAGGTATGAATAAATAATTAAACATATATAGAATATAGTTAGAAACACTGTATGCCACAAATATTGGTTCCAAATACTTTTACTCTCTTTTGGATATCAAGAATTATAACTGAATACTGATATATGATATATATATATACATATATATAAAATATTTATTTAACTAAATTGCGGTACATGCATGCGCTCCATTTACATAATTGTATGTATGTATGTATGTATAGATTAAGTAAAAACTTCTATATGTTTATTATTATTATATTAATTGTAATTAATTATAACCTATTAAGTGTAAATGCAAATGTAAAAAACTATGTACGGCCCCAAGGTACACCAGAATAGCCAACAATTTAATTGATAAGTACGTTCAGGGTTCCGATTATATTTAGTAATAGTTTATAAAAAAATTTTATGAAACATGCTGTTTATAAAATGCAAGAAGAATAATAATAATATAAATATTGTCTTTACCGATTTAAGTGTAGTTTGTGGCGATGTTGTAACAAACTAAGACAGCTTTTTTTTGTTTTAAATAAAAAACTAAATTTAATCATTTTAAATATTTATGTTAAATTTATTTTGTCATTTACACTTATTTATTTCTTGCTTCTTTTAAAATATGTTAATAGTTTAATTTTATTTTGTTTTAAGAATTAAAAGAATTAACGACATTTATGACATGTCAATGAAGAGTTAATATTGTAAAAGTATAACGCTAAACAAAATAATACATAAAAAAAAATATTAAATATTAAGAACTATGAAGTAAATTTAAGCGATAAGAATTATAAAAATGTAAAACAACAAAATAGTATAAGAATTGCATATATGTGCGTAAAATTTTAATTAAATTAATTTATGCATTTAAAAACAATTTCCTTATGAAACTTTGTAATGTAGTAAATATGCAAATTTTATACCTAAATGCATATAAATAAAATAGTGTTTTATAAACAAGAAAATGAAAATGAAAAATAAGCTTATTGAAGTAAGAAAAAAATATATATTAATGATATGAATGAGGATAAAACTGTAAACTCTACACATTTTTAATTTAAAAAAAATTTATTTTAAACAAAATTAATGCTTTAATTAAAAAGTTTATGCTTAATTTAATTTAATTAATGCCTCAAAAATTGACAAATAGTTGCAATATTTTTTTTTTTAAATAATACAGCAAGGATTTTAATGAATAAATTTTTTAAAATGTGTGATGTATTAAACTGAAAATTATATATAAAAATTTTAAATTATTGCTTTATATTATCTAAAGATAATAAATACTCTTTGACCAGCAGTTAATATATAGAAGTTCTTGGTATAGTAGAAATTATATTCATTTTGAATTTTATAAAACTTATTTAATAATTTTTGTCATATAAATAATTCTTGTAATATATATAAAAAGTAAAATTCTAAAATCCAACAAAAATTGTAATTGTATATAAAGAATGTTAAACAGTTCTTTATGGATTTTACATACGATATATAGTTTGTTCTAAAGCATAATATTTCTTTCTATACGCTTTATGCAATTTAAACTATTATTTTAAAACGGTTATATCAGTTAGTGTTTTTTATTTTTTTTTTTTTCATTATAAACTGCTTATTAACAATTTTATAATAACAATAAAAAACAAGAAAGTAAATGTATAAATTTTTCAATTAAAAAAAATAAAATAAAAAACGTATGTGTAGTATTAGTTAAATAAGTAGATATTTCAAATAATATATTTAAATTAAAATTAATTTAAAATATAGTTGTAAAAAATTTAACTGAACAAAACTAAACAGAAAAATAAAAAAAAAAGAATCAAATTGCAAAGTTAGAAATAACTATTAAGGACAACTCAGTGTCGTCTCGTATAGAACGTTTTGAAAAATTTTAAATTAAAATTAAATTATAAAAAACTAATTTAATAAAAAAAATTGTAAATTTGCTAATTAGTAAAAATTAATTTAATTTTCTATGAAAAATAAATAAATAATATAAAAAAAATAATATTTAATATTAAAAAGCTTATTTATGTAATATGTGAATTCAGTAAATACTAAACTAAAATATATTTTAAAATTAAAAATATAAAAACATTTTTTTAATTTTTTTATTTTTATTTACAAATTAACTAATGTCCTCACTAACTTAAAATGCTTTGCATTATTTTACTAATAATTTATATGCGTATATATATATTTATATATATGTATGTATATAAATTACATTTTTAATTTTTAAAACATATATGATTTTTATAAAATAAATGCTTTAGTAAGCTTTAAAATGAAAATTAATAATTAAATTAGTTAATTTTTTTGAATATAGTTTTAATAAATAAATAATTTCACTATTTGTTTTAAATAAAGATGCAGTTATTTTTAATTAAATTTTTATACTCACCTACTAAAATATCTTAATTATGTTATATTTACAATTTTCTAGTTTTGTTTTCATTTTAATTTTATTTGATTATTGCTAATAACTAAAACTTTTAAATGTTCTTTTAAGTAAACGACTTGTTTATATTTAATTATTGTTTATGTAATTTAAATTACTTTGATCTTAAATTAAAACAGAAAATTAAATATGTTCGTTTTGTGACGTGTAATTGAACAATAGAGTAATTAAAATTCTACTAATATTTTAATATTACATTTTTTCTTTACAATTATTTTTTATTGATATTGTAAATATATATTTACAAAATTTATTAAGATTTTATATTGTTTAATAAGCTATTAAAAATTTTTTTGCTTATTAAAAAAATATACTTTCAATTTACTTTAAACTTCGTAATATTAACATAATTTATGTATTGAATTACGTTATTAGTTCTTTTAAAATCAATATAAATAACTTGTTTAAATGTATTTTAAATTCATTTATATGTTTACTATTGTACATTATAAATTTTTATAATATTTATTATAATATATATAAAAATTAATTAAATTAATGTTATTAAAGCTTTTGTTTTTCCAAATATTATATTATATTTATTAACTTATTTATTTATAATTTTTATTTTTAACATTTCATATTCATTATTTTAATTTTTTTTTTCTTTTATTTTATTTGTATTCTTTTATTTTATTGTCTCTTTTTTTTATTGTGTTTATATTTCCTGTTTTTTTATATTACATTTTTTTCTTTTTTATTCTAATTTTTACTTTTATTTATTCTTTTAATTTATATTAACTTCTATATATTTTTTTTAATTGTTTACTTACATTTTTTGTTCTGTTTTTCTTATGTTTTTGTAGTTTTATATAGTTTTTAATTTTTTAATATATTAATATTTTTTGTTATTGTTCTTATTTTAAGCTTTTTATTATATTTTATATTAAATTTTAAAGGAGTACTAAACAATTCTTAATCTCGTTGTGTCTTTAATTTAATTAATTTTCCTAATATTTTTTATTATTTTATTAAATTTCATAATATAAATATTTATTAATTTGTTCAATTATTTTTCTATCAAGAACTAAAATACTGCATTTTCTAACTATTTGAAAAGATTTATCGATATTATTATTTTATTTTGTTTCAAATAAAATAAATATTGACATTTTGTAAAGGCTTATAAACTAAAACCTACAAAAATCATATAATTAACTAATTTTATTATAAATAAAATCGTAGTAGTAAAAATAATAGTTAAGATGATATTTATTCTAAGTAATATTAAAAGATGATTAAAAAGGCTTAAATATTAAATTTACAATATAAGGTATATTTAATTTATTAGCTAATTAAAATATAAATCTTATAAAAAAATGAGTAAATATAAATATTATTAATTTAGTAACATAATTACAAGTAAAGTGATATTTCTTTTAATTTAATTGTGTTTTATTTTACTTTTACTTACTTTTTAAATGTTTATTTCAATATAATTTTGTTAGAGCAATTATTTAAATTTTAATATAAACCCTTTATTTTGTGAAGTTATCAATTCTCGTTTCTTAAAACTATATACAGAAAAATTTTTCTATGGCAGAAGACTTTCAGCATTATAGTTAAGAATTGTATAAGATTTTAGTGAGTGAAATATTATCCAATTTATTGCTATAACTACTTACACTTGCCTACCACAACTGATCGATTTCGAATATAATTTTGTGCAGGTGACCCGTAAGTAAGCACACCAGTCTGTTAGTTTAGGATTCGTCATATCTGACCGATCGCATTCGAACTATAGCAATGCAAAGTGAGACATTGAGGTTTTCCTGTATTTCTTTAAGATAGAAATTTCATTACCACATAATGTAAAAGATTATGTACGGAAGACAATTTGTTTTAAGAATTTACGAAGGTATTTATTTTGAAAGCACCTCACTTGAAGACCTCTTTTCTAAAGTTTCGAAGGTTCCAACTACCGCGTGTTTAATGTATCAAGACTTATGAGCAGCATGAGTTTGGTAAAGCAGATTCAGATCTTAGGATATTTAAGTAATTCTAACAGCCTAATAAAGGATATTTTCCAGTCCATACAATTCTTCCAGAGGCATAAATCACTACTTCACTATTAACAGAGACTATACATGGTATCTCAACACTTTTCTCTATAGTTTATTATATTTTTTTCTGATCTTTATATAACATACATACAAATGAATGTTTTTAATGCTAAATTAATTTTAATGCTAAATTAATTTTAATTTTATTAATTGTTTGTTCCAAAATTAATTATTTACGGATTCCCACGGATTCATTATTTGAACATTTGTAAATAGGTAACTTTTACGTTAATTTATAACTATATATATTTATAAAATATTACAAAAACAAATTCAAATTGTGTATATAGAACTTTACTATACGCCCGTATATATAGTAAACACCAAATAATAATCCCACTCAAATAGTGCATAGAATTAAAAATAAGTATTAAACTAAATCAAAATTGTCCAATTTAAGAAAAGTAAGCAAAATACATTTTTATATATTAATATATACATATAAATATTATCAAATGTAATATTAAAAAATTAATATATATTAATTTAATTTAATCTACTACAAATACGAATTAAGTATTATAAAAGAAAAAAATACATAATTTATTTCAAATTAGAACCAAAATAAAATGTTTGAAAACCACCAGTGATATTAACTACAAACATTGAAATTATATATATTGTATTTAATTAATTTATAAAGTATATAAAATCAATTTTATATAGGATAAAAGTTATAAAAGTAATTTATTTAGCAAAGCAACAAAACAACCAAAAAAAAATAAAAAACAAATACAAATTGAAAACAAAAACCAAATTTTAAAAACAGCGAACATTTGAATGATATATACATATATATTATTAAAAAAAAAAACTAAATTAAATAACTAATATTAAATTGCAAATAAATATACATTTAACACTCATCAAATAAATAACATTATTATTAAGTATTTAAAAAATAATCAAAATAGCATATACATTATAATAAATGTGAACAAATTATAAAAACAAACAAACATTTATTAGTTGACAGTTCAAGGTGTATGAGAACTAGTTAACTAATTTCCTGCTGGGTACACAAAAGTTGTACTTTAATTGGTTTTTCGGCTTTCTATCAAAATCATTTCTGTTAATTTCAGACTAGTATTTATGTATATTAGTAGAACAGACACGAATTTTGAAGCATGTGTAATAAATTGGCAAAATATTATTTAAAATAACTAAAAACAAACATTACATAAAATGAAAATATATAAATGAATAGGAGTCTAAGTGATCTATAATAAAAGTTTTTGCGTAAATATAGTTTAAAAAAAATGTCATGCAATATTTAAAATAAAAACACTAATATAATTATGAAAAACGAAGAAAACAAATATAAAATATGGAATAAAGTAATTATAAAATAAGAATTGTCGTGAAATTTCATCAAAAAAAAAAAAAATAAATGAATAAAAAATAATTTTCGAATGTCACATACAAAATAAAATTGATTTCTTTTATATCTTTAAATGGTTTAGGATAGTTCTTAATATAAATTTTGGGAGTTTATTTAAATAAAATTAATTTTAGTATCATTTGTTGTATATATCTATATGCCTTCTACACTATTTTTGTTAATATTCATCTCTTTTTTGTTTGGGTAATATTCATAATAATGATATGTGTTAGTTTTATTATTTATTTTTTTTATAAATAAATTTATATTAAATTATTTTAAATATTTATTATTATTTAATACTGCACAAAAATTTAATTTAACACTATATATAAAATATCACAGTTCACAAAAAGATTTACTAATTTTCTAATAATAGTGCTATCCTTAAGCAACAATCTTTTACGCCCGGGGCGTTGCACTGCATATAAGCTATATGAATTGAGTAATTTATAAAATGAACTTTATAGTATTAAAGCTAGTAATAACTGTCAATGCATATGATAAATCCATATAAAACTGCAACTGAAAAACATTTCTTCAAAATCCTGATCATAATATCAATTTGTTTTTCTACTTAGATTTTCAATTTAAATTTTTTGTGCGAATGACAGTATTATACTTTATACAAAAAATACATCATATATGAAAAATATCATGAATAATAATACAGCAAACTAAGCACTATATATACTAGAAGCATTTGTAGAGAAAATTCCAACCTTATGTCATTGAGTCTCCACAAGTTTTACATTAAGTACCTTCGCGTATAAAACTAAATACAAAACTAATTTTATATATTAAAACACCTCTTTTATTAATTGATTTAATGCACTATACATACTTGTAAATATTACTCTTAAATAGCCATTAACGATTGTCTGTTGTTTTCAGTATTATATTAATTTAGAAGAAAATTACTATCAAAACAAAGAAATTACTGTATTGTTGAAATTAAGTGTTAAAATACTTAATATTTTAAGAGAAATTAGTTAATACTTAATATTTTAAAAGAAATTTAATCTTTAATCGTAACGTTTTTCAACACTTTTTTCGAACTCGCACGTCAGATTGGCAAATACAATAAATGACAGCTGTCAGCTGTGTTGGATCGGTTTTTGATTTTTCGCAGGTAGTTTTAATATAATAAACGTTTGAATGCATTTATTCTAATCACATTATTATGTTAACATTATTAAATACATTGAAGGGAATAAAGAAATCTTAATAATTTTATTTTGAATAAAATAGCACCTATATACAGATTCAGACATTTGTAGGAATGGGTTCAGCACAGTCAAGTGAAACACGTTCCGTGCAGTTGGACAATCCAAATCCAAGCAGTGTTATTGACATCTCAGACGAAGTTGTGCAAAGGCTTAAGAGTGGCCTTAAACAACAAGGTAAATTAATATCTAATGTTATACTCTAAAATAATTGTTTTATAATAAAAAATATATTTGAGAAAATTATAAAATTGTTTAAATGATTATGCAACCATGCAGTGAATCCACTATAACAAATTAATATATATTTTGTTAAAAACGATGTATTACTTAAAATTATTTAAAGTATTTACTACAATTTTTACTATTACTCATGCGCTTACATAATTTATTCACTTTAACTAATTTTAGCACGAGAAAATGCAATTGCTGCTGAAAAAGCAAAATCGAAAGAAGCAACACCGCCACCAGCCAAGGAGGTACCGCGTGTAGTGCCTGTAAAAACTGCACCACTACCACCACCACCAAAATCGGTGGCACCATCACAACCAACAGTTGTTTACCAAAGCTCACAACCGACATATGTGTTAGGCGGCGGTACGACAGAGTCAGCGGTCGATGTAAGACGACAAAAACAACATGAACTGGAGGAAAATGATGCCATGTGGCGTAAACGTATGTCACAATTGGAGGATACTTTAAAAAAGACAGATTCTATCATGGAGAAAGAATATGCAACGGCTGTTGAGGATGTACGTAAACGTTTTGCTACACCATCACCTGCATTGAAACTGCCACCATGCCAAGACCTCAAAGCCCAGGTAATTGCCTGCTATCGCGCTTATCCTGGTGAGACACTTAAATGTGCTGAGGAAGTAGCTTTGTTCCAAAACTGCATTAGTGCACAACGCGTACTTAAGTTAGACGCGGATGAAGCGAAAACCGAAACAGCTACAGCTAAAGCTGCCTGAAACTGAAATTAGTCAACGATTGTGTACAATTTCTACTTTTTTTTTGTTTTTTTTTTTGATGCAACAAAAAATGCTTGGAAGATCGTTGCCAGTCATAAAGTGTAACTTATAGTTTAAAAATGTAATGAAGTGTTAGAGTCAAATCCAACTAATGCAATATTTAAAATGATAATTGTAAAATGATGCTATAAAATTAAACTCAAGATTCTTTAATTAATTTGAGTTTTTTGTGGGTATAAATTTATATTAAATAAACAGGAAAGATCTTACCTTATATATGTATTGTTTCTTTCAGACTCCCTATTTTATATGCTCACATGTTTGTTGATGCTGAATATAATGCAGTTTGGGTGTTTGGGATGATAAGGTTTGGCAGAATTGATAATTGCATTAAATATAGTACATTTTAAATTACTCTATTGAATGCATTGTATAGTAAATAACCAATGTACCAATCAGACAAGACTTCTTGTGGTATATAATGGTAGCCGTTCACGTAGCACTGATGCATAAACAACGTAAGAAGTACCTAGGTGGCCATCTCATTTCGGATGAAGAAATAAAACTGTAATGTAGATAGTTCGACTTGTAGAAATACTCTTAAGTTCATTAAGTTCATGCACAATAGATTTCCAAGACGCAGTGCCAAATCCTCAAATAATAATACAATAATTGTAATACTTTATATAAACCACGGATTTGATGCCATTTAGGATGTGATATAACGATTGTACTTTTATATACAATGTTGATACAATTTTGATCACTATTCTACTCGTAGATTCACTATCCAAAAGGTAGCTTAACCAAACAAGCTTCCTCAGCTGCCTATGATTTCCCGAATTATTGAGAAGAATTAATTTTATTGACCATAGACTTATTTAAGCAATATTGATCTATACTCTGCCATATTGAAGTGTCCAGGTTCCAACAATTATTATCCCACTAAATTTTTCTCCCTCTGACCTACAATCATCCGAACACATTATATGTTTTGTGATTTCTTTTGTTCTTGTTTCCTGCTATATAGATGTCCATGGGCCACAACAGCAACATTTTCATTTAAGTGCTGGACTGAAAATAAAATTAGTTGTAGTTCATGCATATACATACATATATATCGTTCATAATGTGAGAACGATCGATTGAGCATCAGAAAATTAATTTCATGTCTAAGAAACTCCATTCGTTTAAATGTTGCTCATTAAAAATAAGCTTGAATCAAATTTATACTTCCTATACTTCTAACTTAAGAGTATAGCCTTAAATTTTTAATTTTTAAATTAAAGTATAATTTAAATAACAACCTTGTGAGCTATTTTTTTATTTCTTATCATAACACAAAAACTTAAACTAATTAAAAACGAAATAAACTAAAGATAGACAGTAACAGCAAAATTGAAAATTGAAATCCTTGTAATCTGCTACTAGCACTCCTATATGCTTGCTTATGTATACAAGTGTGATCAAAGTCCTTCGCTGGGCCAAAACATCCCGCATAACTCATAATATAAGCCAAGTAGTTTTGTTCGAAAACACCGCGTACTAAACTTGAACCAGGCCCATTGGCAAAAACAACGACATCTTCACCACCATGCGATTCATCCTTAACTGGTATTGTTGCCATGTGCCTATAAGTGGGTGACATACGTTCTGCTTGTGTTAACGTTTCTAAACGTATCCAAATGTTGCTTTCATTCACATTGCGTGTCTCGTTTGCCAAATGATCCCAATAACCTGGACCATTGGCATATGAAATTGTCTCATATACCAAAGGATCTTTAGCTTTATTTGCAAAACCCAAAACGTCGGCACCACGTTTTGGATATCCATTTAAGGTAACAGAATGTGAGTGATCAGCAGTGACGATTATAAGCGTTTCCTCTTCATTGGTTAATTTTAATGCTGCCTCAACTGCTGCGTCGAATTCGACTACTTCGTACATAGCGGCACGCGCATAATTCTGATGATGAGCCTGATCGATACGTCCACCTTCAACAATAAGCAAGTAACCCTGAAATAAAATGTATTTTATTTATTAATAGAGTCTAGAACTATATAGCTTTGACTTGTTATTACATTGGATTTATGTCCTCGTTCCAAAACATTAAGAGCAGCTTCGGTCATTTCTTTTAGCGTAGGTTCTTCTTCTTCTTTTGCAATTTTATAGGTGATATGATTATTTCTAAACAACCCTAATAGATGTTCAGTTTTTTTTAAATCAAGTTTTTCCAATTGTTCCCTAGTCTGCACAAAGAATCTCGTTCTATTTGTGCCTTCCATTTGCAACCATTCACGTGCTAAGTTACGATTATCGCCACGCTGACACACATCTTCTGAAGGACCTTCAAACTTAACTCTGCCAGTTTCGGTTTTATTAGAAGCACCCATAGGTGACAGACCACCTCCCAATATAACATTCAACTTATTACCGGGCGCATTCTCAACTAATTGCCGTGCTATGTCTACATATTTGCCAAGTGAAGGTGACGGCACTTTTGTATCACACTCCCAGTCGCGATGATAACTGCGCGCATAGGCTGATGCTGGAGTCGCGTGTGTTATGCGTGTATTTGTGACTAGACCAGTACGTTTACCAGCTGCTTGCGCCCAATCCAGAATTGAGGTGAGTTTGCCAGTTGCGTTATTTAAGGGATCGCGTGTAGCGTCCATACCAATGGCACCGTAATCTGTTTTAACACCACAAAACATTGCGGTCGCTGTACCGGCTGAATCGGGAACTTGTTTATCGACATTGTAAGTCTGAAAAGTAAAAAATGTGTTTTTGTTATTTAATTTTTATTTATTTTAATGAATAAACCTTGGCTAATCCAGTATAGGGGAAATCATCAAAGGATAACATTGTCTCCTCACCATAACCTTGTTTTAAGTGTTGACCTTTGAAAATGCGACCCGCTGTAATGGTTGTCAAACCCATGCCATCACCCACGAAAATTATAACATTTTTAGCTTTCCGTGTATAAGCAGTCTCCTTCGCCTTCTTGGCAATGCCAATCACTTTTCTAAGTTGCGTCAATCCAACTTTGCGCCAATAGTTGGCATCTAAAACAAAAAATCAAAAGAAGAATATTTGAATTAATCTTCGAAGCGAAAGTTTTTATAACGACGAAAGAGAAATCTACATAGGTGGTATATTTATATATAATAGAGCTCGGTTTCCAAGAGGATGAGTGTATTAAGCTAAAATGTTTTGTCGGTAGTGAGTGTCAGGAATGTTTTACACCTTTCTCGACACTGACAACCTACAAGACCTACCTAACTTGCAGTTGTCGATGTATTCATAATATAATAATAATAGTATGAGTTTGGGGTGGGAGATTTCAATATACCATATCCGGTATCCAGATAAACTTTCATGTACGGGGGCAGATATAACAGATTTCATAAAAAAATTTTTCGAGCAGTAGTGAATTGTAACAACAAATTTTTTTTTATTTTTAATTAATAGAATTTTTGGCTGACCATACAGCTGTTTCGATTATTGCCAAATATCCATCATTAATTATTGCTAATACTCGAAACACCTGTATGGTCAGACAAAAATTTAATGAATTAAAAATAAATAAAAATTATGTTGTTACAATTCACTGCTGTTCGAAACCTTTTTATTAAATGCAATAAAATCAAATTTAATAAGAAAATTTTAGTATCTGTAAGAGGGTCGTTTTACAGGTTAATGTCCGATAAAAATTAATACCATTGATTGCAGTTGATTGTTAGATAAATTATGAAGGTGCATTCTAGGTATGCCCATGTTCGGTAAGAAGAAATTTCTTGGATAGTATATAACTCAGTTAATAAATACTGAATGAAGGTGCTTTATTTAAATGTCGATCTGTTTGTCTGCTAAGAAGGATTACATTGAATGGTATCTGATTATTATATATAGTGCATAAATGTGCTTTATTTGGACATTTATCTGTCGTTCTAGCAAGAAAAATTTGCTTGGATAGTAGTTAATTCTTGAATTCGATTTATATTCTTGAATCCAAGAAAAAAGGTTTTAGAAATAAATTGATTGTTATGTATAGCATGAACACGGTGTATTTGAAAAAGTCGGACAAAAAGAATTTCACTGAAAAGGAACTAATACTTAGATGTGGCATAAATGGTTTATCATTTAAATGTATATCTATCTGTCTAGCTGGAAAAAAATTCTCGACAGTAGTTTAATTTTTTTTTGGATGCTTACTACCTGCTTGGTAAGAAAAAGTTCCTAGGATAGTACCTGATCGTTTTTTCTAACAAGAAGTATTTTAAAGTTTGGCTTGAAGATAATAGCTATGTGATATACCCTGGCAATTTGTTGAAATCTGTAGAGAAGAGTGTTGACAGGACTGCACATTGTATCTATAGGATATCGGCAAGCTTGTAGCTGGAGGGAGAAGATGGCTAGTAGGTGTCTATCGGATATCGGTAAGCATGTAGTTGGAGTGAGAAGATGGCTGTTGGTTCTATAAAATGAATCGAAGGATACTTATATCATTTTCAGTACATTATCATTAAGATAAAGATCTTATTCTAATTTTTAAAATTATCTGAAAACATCTTAAAGAATGGTAAATTCTTGAATGGGTTTTGAGAAGCTGAGGTGGTTTAGGTGAAGAATGTTAGATTCAAATGTGATCAGACTCTACAAATCACTTAACTATTCTTGTAAATCTTGTAAAATAACGTTCGTAATCGAGACACTTAAGTATGTTGAATGACATTATTATAGTTTTTGCATAATTAAATAAAAATATCTTGGTTTTTAACCATTTAATGTTTTATTTTATGATATCCACATTAATTAAATTTCAACAATCAGTAAAATCACTGGCTTAACAAAATACTAGATCCATAAACTGCTTTGTTTTATGTTATTTAAATTTTTTATGCACGAATATATTATCAATGGCTGTAAAATGAAAGTTATGAGATACATTGGGTTAAGGAAAACTTCAGTATATAAATCTTAATTAGCAATGCTACGTAAAAGAACGAATTAATTAAATAATTTTCATACTTTAATGTGGAATTATTTATTCAAACACCTGCAAATATTTTACACTAAATGAAATGTAGCTATTTATGTCTGTAATAAGGAAATCATTTTCATTACAATAGTTATAGTCTGGGCGTTTAAAATAATTATTTCGATTTGTTATGGCGGCACATACTTCATAAATAAAGTACAGAAGCGACAAGAGACAGATTATAATTATAGTTAGGCAATTGATTTATGACTACGACTTACAATAGTACAACACTTCAAATAGGAATTGCAGAATAGGCAACAGATATATCATCAATAAATATTGAATAACTAAAATAGTGAAATTTAGGAGTGGGGTGTGAACAAAAACTAACTACTATACTAAATCACATCCTCTTGGGTTTAACGGTTTATCGAGTCAAGTTTTTTTTTGTGTATTGGTTGCATTGTTAGTAACATCATTGATCTTTGCCTTAATATGTTACCCTGACGTATTCCCGATAAAGTTCCAGGAAAGAAATGTTTTGGCACACGAGGGGGATTGTTTTTAGTCTGTGCAAACCGGGCATACCGCTATTTTTAAAGCTCCACTCCTCACAAAAAAGAATCCTTAATGGGTTAACAAATACACATTATTCATTCATTAACTTCAAAGAGGCATTTGATAGTTTAAGTAGTGCATTTATAGTGAAAAGGATGTTCTAAAATTTCTAAAAGCCTGAGAGGGTTTCAGTAAGATAATAAATTTTATAAACTAACTATCTATCGACTTCAAGTGTTATATTCTTTATAATAGTACCTATGCTGTCAATGGCACACGAACTACACACCGACATTAGATCAATTAGTATGTTATCATCTAACATAATCACTAGTTCAAAAAAAGAAATATATTGTTCGTTCTTTCTACATATAGAGAACATAAAATATACGTGTGATGTGCATGTTGTGACGAGTTTTAGAATCTCGTCACAAACAAACAACAAGAAAATAAAATAAACAAAAAAAAAAAAA